GGAAATCGAGCATGGCACGGAGGATGTGTTCCTATCGGGTTTTACCCTAGCCGAGGCTCGGGTCATACAGAACATCTTAGCTGTTGATAAAGGGTTGTATGTTAGCACTCAGTCAGTATACCTCATGAATAAACTCCAGCACATCCCTGGGATGGGACTAGGAAGAAGTGGCCAGAAGGGCATTGCAATATCAGCCGAAGTACCGCACAACCCACATACCTTTGGTTTGGGTTATCTGTCCACCAAAGAGAACTGGGTGAGGAAAGGCAAGGAGATGGCTAGGAGAGCCAGAGCAAAGTAGGTGGGAAAACCTTATGAGTTAATGCACCGACCCATCCGGGGTACCCTAAACGGATGCTTTGTCTGAAAGGAGGAGGATTTTCCATTCTGTGGCTTCCCAGAGCCATGGTTGAATGCAGAGAAGCGTCGCTTGTCAGGGTTTGAGATCTTCTTTGACCTGCAGTTATCCGGGGATGATGTTGCTGAGGAGCAAACAGACCCCCCAGCTGAAGTTAGGCAGTGTGGGAAAGTGGATTCTGAGAACACGGAGATTGAAATGGGGGTAGCACTGGCTTGTCTACTTTCAGATCCTCCGATCGTACAGAAGTGCTTGGGGGATAACTTCTCGGTGTCCATGATCGGGAATGAAATGGCTGCGAGCCCACCTTCAAACATTTTGGATGCATCCATCGCACCCTCCCTCATCTGGCAGTATGAGGAGGGATTTTTATTAATTAGCATCGGGTCAGGTAGTAAGCCGGAATTTGATTCCACCGAGTCGGTGGAGTCGGAATTAGGTTCCAGCTCGTTTGAGTCTGAGTCCGATATTCTTGGGGGTGACAACCCGGATGCCACAGTCCTATTTAGGTCGTCTTTTTCTTTCTCTTTTGAGTCTGTTGTAACAGAGGAATCGGACGATTTGGAAGTGATTAATGAGAATGGAATGGCTGTGGCTTTTGAGAACTTTTCTGTGCCTTTGATTTATTGTATTAATCAGGACTTTCAAAATTTTGATAAAAACGACGAGGAAGAAATTCCTCCGGTTTTACAACGATTAATTGATCAAGAGCAGGAGAGATTTGTTAAAACCTTGGTTGATGAAATCACTACAGTTAATATTGGTAATGAGAAGGACCCGCAGCTGGTCCAGATCGGGTCCACGTTGTCTTCGGAGGAGCGCGAGCACTTAGTCACTTTATTAAAAGATTTCAAAGATGTTTTCGCGTGCTCCTACGAAGACATGCTTGGAATCGATCTTGAGATTGTACAGTACCGGATCCCTCTTGACCCAGAGGCCCGACCAGTTAAACAGAAACTTAGAAGGATCCACCCGGACTGGGCTCTCAAGATTAAAGAAGAGGTCACCAAGCAAATTGACGCAGGGTTCCTGCTGGTATCTGAGTACCCAACTTGGCTGGCCAACATAGTCCCGGTGCCGAAGAAGGATGACAGGATTCGGGTATGTGTGGATTTCAGGGATTTAAACAAAGCCAGTCCGAAGGACGACTTTCCTCTGCCGCATATCGATGAAATAGTGGACTTCACTGCAGGGCATGCGCTGCTCTCATTCGTGGATGGCTTTTCTGGCTACAATCAGATATTGATGGCACGCGAAGACCGGGAGAAGACTGCTTTCACCACCCCGTGGGGGACATATTATTACAAGGTGATGCCATTTGGGTTAAAGAATGCTGGAGCTACATATCAATGGGCTGCGACCACGATATTGCACGACATGATCCACAAAGAGGTTGAGGTGTACATGGACGACATGATGATGCACCGAGCCCGGTACATGCAAGATAAATGAATGGATGCAAACATGCGAGCATAAGGATGCTAATTGAAACATGCCCTAAAACTAACCATCGTAAGCTGGTAAATAAAAGGGAGAAAGAAATGGGGGTTGGAAGACATGCATCACACACACGCCCACTTATTTACAATAGTTGTGCCCTCTCGACGGAGGGTCCGAATGAATAATACAGAACCAACTAGTTAATCTAAGCTAATCTAATTAAACTAGTTATTACACAACAGAATGAAAAACAAGCTACAACTAATTATTACACAACTCCAACTAATTAACAAATTAACTAAGTTAGCAATAAGCATATAAACTATATGATGTAGGCTGCCTCAGCTCTGTTTTGGATGACAAAGGATACATGCATGCTCGAGTTGCCTTGTTCGGGAATCCCTCGCAACGCCCCGATTTGCCTCTGTTTGCAATTGATCTCAGAAACTTGCACCAAGCTCCAGAGAGATGAAACTCCACCTTGGGAATCTATAGGGATGCTGCCGACCAGATATTGGCCTTGGAGACCACCTGCCGACCACTTTTTGTGGTGAAAACCAGAGAAAGTGGTCGGCCAGCCACTTTATCTGGTTGGCCGACCAGTTTTTGCTGCTAGTTTCTGGTTTTCTGCAACAGAGGGCAAGAGAGGGGCATGGCAAAGTATTTGCAACACATGTATGCGCGACCACCCTCCCTATCATTACATAAGCTCAAAAGGAGTGTAGGTCTCGACCCTCGGGCCACCAATCACAATGCACATACAAACACCTAAAGCCTAGAACTCCGTCATGTATAGTCAAGAGTGTCGGCGACCGGGAATCGAGGTACGTTTCATCATTTCGAGTATGAAACGTGCCTTGTTTCCCATGTTTGGACTAACGCCTATTCCAAACACAATGGAACAAACATGGTATGCACAATGCGACTCAATCATGCAACTTAATGCAATACAACTTAGACATGCAAACGTGCAAAGGGGTAAACATGTGAACATGCAACTAGCATACACAATGCTATGAATTCCATGGCATACACAATGCTCATGACACTAGCATACACAATGCACGTGGCAACTAACAAACACAATGCAATGAATATGGCATGCACAAATGCAATGTCTAATCATGCAACCACATGGCATACTCAATGCTATGGACTACATGGCATACTCAATGCACAATGAACTCAAGGCACCAAAACACACACAAACATGCATAATGTAATGGCCCAAGTCTAACGCACAAAATACAACTCTCCAAGAGCATTGAAAAGATGAAACATGGAGCACAATGGCATGTGTACCAGCACTGAAATGGCATACGAAATGACTTCGAATCATGCAAACAACTCACGCAATGCATGTTGAAAGGCCCAAGTATCGAAAGCTAGTGAAGCATATTACACTAGAGACATGCAAGGCGATGCTCAAATGACCAAACCAACCCCAAACAGACCCTATGCAGGCCAAAACAGTGGCAAAATGAGTTTGGATGATGGCTTTGAAAGGCACAAAAATGGGGCTCATGCAATGGCTCACAAATAGGGCATAAAAGCATAGCTCTAAAGAGCACTTAAAGAGCGGAAAAATATGGAAGTATGGCAGCCCTACATGTTCTGAAATAACATTCCCAATGATGCCAAAACATGCAAATATCTCGAGTTAAGCATGCAAGAGACCTCAAAACTCAAAGCTAGTCAAGGCTATTACACAACAAGCATGCATGGCAAGCATCATTCGACCAAGAGGCCTCAAAACAGAGCTAATACAGCCCAAAATATGAACAAAACCATGTTGGAGCAAAGCCAAAATGTGCTAGAATAAAGAGCCAAAACATCATGCGAACCAAGCTAGTAAACAAGATTTACACTACAAATGGAGCATGTGAGAGGTTACCAAACCAACCAAAAATAGAGCCATGACATGTCGAATGATGACCAAAAAAACATTGAAATGGAGCTAAAATATGCTAGATTGACATGCTACCTTGATGAGCCATAAATGGAAATACAGTACACATATGAGAAGCATGTCAAGGATGACCAAACCAACTGTGGACAGAGTCTAGGCAGGCCCTAAAAGTCACCAAAAAGTGCCTGAACCAAGCCTTGAAAGTATGAAAATGTATGCTCCTTTGATAGGCCAAAATGCAAGTAAACAAGACAAAAAGAGAGAGGGTCACCCCTCTCTGATTTAGGACCTCAAGACCACATGCCAACCACTGAAAATCTACTGGATTTCAGTGGCTAAAAGGCCAAGAAAGGATTAGCTCAAAGGGCCTAAGGCATGGCACAAAACAAGGCCAAACAAGGCATGCAAGAGGGTAGGAGACCCTCAGCACCCAAGAGGCCTTAAACAAACATGTTAAGTGCTAAAAAATGAAGCCTTTTTTAGTTGAAAACAAAACTCAAATAAGCATGCAAGTATGGCTAAGAGAGTTATCAAGACAAAGCTTAAAAGGGGAGAAAAGGGATTACCCTTTGAAGCACTGCAATACCAGCAAGCAGTACAAGAAATTGCATTTTTCGCAACGCAACAAAATATGTTGCTAAAAGGAAAAATTCGTCGGCAAAGAGTTTTGCCAACACACAAAGCTACGTTGGCAACCCGTAGGCAAAAGTGAGTCGACAAAAGTTTTTGTCGACGAAATTATCATTGCATTGGTAAAAGTAATGCCTTTAGCAACGAACATAGTCGTCGATAAAAGCCTTTATCCATCGTCGGCAATTTACCTTGCGTCGGTAAAAGTCATTCAAATATGATGATTGTTTGGCACTTTTCGCGACACAAATTTGCATGGGCAAAAAATGTACTTTTAGCAACAAAATATGCGTGGGTAAAAGTAAACGTTTGGCGACACATTTACGTCGGTAAATGTTGTCATTTGCCTACTATTTGTTTGTCGATAAAACTTCACTTTTGGCAATGACGAATTAGCATTAGCAAAAAATACACTTTTAGCAACACAATATAAGTGGGCAATAGTAAACTTTTGGCAACACATTTACGTCGGTAAATATTGCCATTTGCCGACAATTTGTTTGTCGATAAAGGTTTACTTTTGGCAACGACAAATTGGTATTGGCAAATAATACACTTCTAGCAACACAATATGAGTGGGCAAAAATAAACTTTCGACGACACATTTACTAACAAAAATAATTGAAAATAATTTATATATTTTTATAAGATTTACAAATTTACAAGAGGCATCCCTCAGGCATCACTATTACAAACTAATAACATTGATATGAAATCACCTAAAGTTGATGTGCAAGCAAAAAAAAAAACACTACTAATACTGCTTTTAGAAGCAATGTATAAAACCTAAAAGGATAAAGTCACTAAAATACCCAAATACATCCAAATTGTAAACCCACATTAGAAACAACAGATAACAAAATGAAAACATGAAACTAACAAAGACAGGCAAAACGACATGAAAATCACCCACAAACTTATCCAGCAGACCAACATCTAGTAGCAGCCGCCTCATAGCAACATTGCAGCAGCAGCAACCCAGCCACGAGGGTCGCAGCAGCAGCAAACCAGCAGCTGCAGCAGACCAACAAGCAACAACCATCAGCCACCAGCAAAAAAGAGGATCTGGTAGCAGTCTGTATTGATCAATGACAAATTTAAAACAAAGTCCATTAGTTTTTTTATTGACCTGGTAGCGGTCTGTGTGTGTGTGTGTGTGTGTGTGAGAGAGAGAGAGAGAGAGAGAGAGAGAGAGAGAGTTAATAGATATGCAAACGCAAGTTCTGGCTAAAACATAAAGCTTTTACCATCATCTGATAAAAAACAAAATAAAATAAAAACCTTTGGTTTCCCACACCCACAGACCCTATCTATTTTTTAATTTATGTAATATGCAAGGTACAGAAACATATGATGCCTCTCATAACTTAAATAACATTAATAAGATCAATAGGTAACAGATTCATATTGCAACTTCCAAATAAATTGAAATAAAGCTTTAATGGATAGAACATTCTAGCTTATGTGTACATGAAATCTCAAGAGCATTATCAGTCAAGACTTCTTAATAACTTTAATAAGGATTTTCATTTTAACACTGAAGGAGTTAACACTGAATTTCCATGTAGACTATTGGAAGTGCAAGCATCAAGAATTTGAAGTTAATTTCTATTGAAATGAAAATGCCTATGAGAATATAAGTTGCAGAGTTTTCTTTGCAGTTTTCTATGAGAATATAAGTTAATTTCTACCTCACTACTCAATTGTTTACTCCTAGCCAAGGGCTTTTTAGCTCAATGGTATTTACCCCAACACTCTTATTTTAGTTTGGATGTTCAAACCTCGCCCTTTTAGCTCCTATCTATTCCACCCAGGACCACCACTTAGCGACTCGCTCTTCCCCAATACCATTAAGAGTAAGCTAGATATATATTTGTATTCCAATACTAACAGAGTTTTTATTTTCTTCCCTATCCTTTTCATATTGACCACTGTCACAGTTACTCTTCCACATATATATATATATATATATATTAGATAATCTCCGTTGCCTTAGCAGCAAAAAGTTGAAAACTTACAGACTTAAATTATACCAAATATATGAAGTTGCTAGGCTGTCACTAAAACCAAAACCTACAGACTTAAATTATACCAAATATATGAAGTTGCTAGGCTGTCACTAAAACCAAAACCTACAAACTAAGGTTGGTACAAAAAATACAATATAACACATTAATAGTATAATCTATATTGTTTTTTCTTTTATTAATATATCCTCCAAGCTATTTTGTTCAAAATTATAATGTGTTTCATGTCTTTCCAAGTAATGGACATGTGTGTCCCCCTTATAAGTTCACCTAGTTTCAAATATATAATCACTTTCAAAGTTTTCTAGTTTGTTTTCTTCACTGATTAAAACATCAGAGGGTTTGACCTGTTTCTGCTTGCTACTGCAATCAGCAGGTTTTGACCATCAAGACATGAATAATAACTAGCAAACCTGTGACATCAAGATTTTGTTTGGGACTAGGATTTGAGTGGGGATTAGTGGTGGAAAAGGAAAAATAAGGGAAATGTGACAAAAATACAATTTCTATTTTATTTATTTTGCCTTCCTTTCTCTCTACAAATCCTTCAAGCAAACATAGCCTAAGGAGGGGAGTTTTCAGTCTTAAACAATTACCACCATATCACACCTTGATCATCAAGAAGTTTTCCTATGTCATTCATTTCTCTCTTTTAGAGTTATTTATTTTATTGTTATTATCACCATCATTATTATTTTTTCTTCTTCACTGATAATTTTCTTTGGTTTTATATCCTTCTAGGTGTAAAGCGACTAAGGTTTCCAAAAAACTACAATGTGGGCCTCAGGATCAGGTGAGTAGGTCCATGACCAATTTACCTGTCATTAGCCCATCCAACTTTTTTACATTCGCATTATCTATAAATTTTCAGAATGAATAGATAGAACAACATTATAAAAACAGATACCAAAGTATTATTTTTAACAGCCATGGTACTTACAGGGGTTAGGGGAGGAGCATCAGGAGGCAGCTGGTAATTCTCAACCCGTGTAATAGAGACTGAAAGATCAGCAATTGTGGATCCCTGAATCAAAAAGGCCAAAAATATAAAAATATAAAATAAATCTAAGGGTTAATAGAAATTTTGAAATGGCACCCATTTGCATAAAAAATATTTCTAAAGATTGGGAAGCTTACACATCCAAGCTTCCCATCAGGAGGCTTAAAAAACTGTTCAGGTGCGACCTTGCGGTTCACATGACAAAAAATTTCCAAGGAGTGAGCTTCTAACTGAGAATTTTTTCTATGCAAGTAAAGTTTTGTTATCTTCTTTTCTTTCTGTATTTTTCTACGTACATCTTTATTAAACTGAATATTTTAGAAATTTCCTAATTTTACAAAATATAAGGCACGTGTTTCATACATTAGGGTTTCATGCCTTCTGGATACGTTTGATTTCTACAACATTGTACAGAACTGCATCGTTCAGTCAAAATCTTTTTATTTTAAAAATTAATAATGAAAAAATTGAGATCAAGACTGATATAGAAAATCAATTGACATACTGTCAAAAGCATAGCTGTATCTGCTCCCTGTGATTCCTTGAAGGTAACGTATGCAAGCTGAGATGTTTCAGTTTCCCTGCAGAACGTGCCACAAACTCTATTGAGCATTGATTATGCAAGAAATTTAACACTGGGTAAGTCAAGAGAGCTGACCTTTGCATTTCAACATACTGTATATCACCAGAAAAAGAGAAGAATTCCTTAATATCCTTCTCAGAGGTAGCTAGTGAGATATTACTGACTTTAACGGGTCTTACCTATAAAAAAAAAATAAAAAAAGTAAAAGAATAGCTAAGTACATGTAATCACTAATAAAAGTGACTACGAAAAAGAAATATTCAAATTGCATTAACTGAATTTTGAATGCGGCATGGTTCTTGCCCCTTGCAAAACAAAATTTATAGAAATCAAAACTGGTTAAACTAGCAGATAATAGATTCACGCAAGACAGAATCTCAGTCACTTCAACAAAGTCCAAAATTCTGTGCTCATCATCTTGGTGACATAAGGGGGACACACATCCGAATATAGGAATTTGAAGACAAAAGTGTAGTCATTCACACTGATACCCAATTCATAAAAAACAGTTCTTATAAGCACCAACTAGTGGTTTAGCCATTCACACTGATGTCCAGTTTATGAATAAAAAGAACTTATAAGCACCGACTAGTGTGCACTTTTAGTAAATATTTTCCTCACATCTGAAACGTTAATTGTCCAGTTTGGAGTACCGCTTGGTGGTGCATCTATTCCGATCTTTGAATTGGTATGATCCATGGGGACCTGCACATCACAGACCCAATTAGGTTCTTCTCAGGGAAGAAATAACACAAAAGTGCACAAACTTACATGTAAATGACACGGTAGGAAGTGGATACATCATACATGATTTACATTAACACTCTGACTAACCATACTTGAAAATGACATGAAGGGGTAAAAAAGTGCAAGTAACCATGTTAGACTACAATGCTTAGTACATACTGCAGTGATGCATCAAGGCTAATTGAAAATTCATTTTCAAAGATAAATCCAAGTGATAGTATTGGAGAGCAAAGTAATGATTGTTGGGCCCCTTTCCTAAGGTCTAAAATTTTCGGGACTGCTGGTGATCGTCTAATAAGGTGTCAAACCACAGGTTAATAAAGGTCTTAGGTTCAAGTTCTCTATATGCATTTGTTTCCTTGTTTGCATTTTGTTTCTCCACATGTTAGGATGTTTTCATCGCAAGACGGGAAAACCAAAAAAAACAACTTGGCGAGTTTACATTGTGTGGGGGAGGAGGGTGAAAGAGAAGGGCAGGGGGTCATCATCTATCTTACAAAGCATTGGACTTGGCCTTACTGCAATTTTGTTAGCCCATAATTACTTGTCAATTTAGCATGTAGACTTTTTCAATATGATTAGTGTGCCTTTTGCTCTGTCATCTTCACTTGTTGATAACAGCCTTAGTTGTTAAAAGAAGTGTAGACTTCTATCTTTGACCTCATTACGAGATGACAAACCTCCACTAATGATAGAATTAAAATAGTTATAGCATAATAAAAAATTAAATTGAGATAATTTTTTGGCTATGGAAGGAAAAATTGAACTTACCCAACTCTCTTGGAATGACTTGAATTGCGGTCCATTATAAGGCGTACATCTCAGACCTGGAACTGTAATTCAACGGTATTAGAAATACTCAACACAAATAATTAGTTCACCATCAAACGTAATATACCATCACATATTACGTTATAGCCCCACAGTGAGTAGCCCAAGAAGCACGAAACTTAGGAAGTGGATACATCATACATGACAGTATTGACACGGTAGGAAGTGGATACATCATACTTGATTTACATTAACACTCTGACTAGCCATACTTGAAAATGACATAAAGGGGTAAAAAAGTGCAAGTAACCATGATAGACTACAATGCTTAGTACATACTGCAGTGATGCATCAAGGCTAACTGAAAATTCATTTTCAAAGATAAATCCAAGTGACAGTATTGGAGAGCAAAGTAATGATTGTTGGGCCCCTTTCCTAAGGTCTTAAATTTTCTGGACTACTGGTGTTTGTCTAATAAGGTGTCAAACCACAGGTTAATAAAGGTCTTAGGTTCAAGTTCTATATATGCATTTGTTTCCTTGTTGGCATTTTGCTTCTCCACATGTTAGGATGTTTTCATCTCCACATGCAAGACGGGATTGCACATGACGAGGGTGTCGGAGAGCTCAATATGCATTGTTGGGCCTCTTTCCACACAACTTGACCTTTTGGGATTAGTGGCGATCTAACAGAAGTAACATATAAGGTTGAATTCATCAATAAGCTAGGTGTTATATGAGCAGTCCCTCGAAAAGTTAGATATCATAATAAGTTGATAGCATGCATTATGAGATACAAATAAAAAATAAAATAAAAACTATAAAATATAAAAATTATAAAATTATAATCTGTAAATCACTTAAATATACTAATCAATTCAAACATTCTGAATTCCATCATTTCGTTCATATTTCTTATGCTAATGAAATAAAAGAAAAACATTTACCTTAATAATCGCTTGATTTCAAGAATTAGGGCCTAAAATGAATAGATGAGAGTAGAATCCAATCTTTGTTGAACAAATCTAACCTAAAACAGAGTAGATATATGTTGAACATTAAAAAAATCTACCTACATTCAGCTGAAAAAATAATGATTTTTTCTTTTTTAATCTTACCTTGCTTGGCAACTTTGGGTTGAAGATCAAGAGACCAAAGTTATAGATTTGAAGACTAAATCTTGCAGATGTAAGAGTTTTTCAGACGCATACACTCAGTTTTCTGTGAAACAAAAAAGGTTGGAAGGGACAAACAACTGATAAATAAATAAATCTTTTAAAACAATTTGTTGTCTAAAGTGACACCGTAACGGCCCATCACATTGTAAATTTACTTCTCCCTGCTAAAAAGAAGCAGATAGCAGTATCGGGAATAGGCAAAACCAATGGTGGTCAAATTTTTACACACTGGTTATGAGCATTCTTAAAGAGTCATAATTGTGAATTTAGCTTGTTCAAGTGGGTGATAGAATTTCTCTTTAGTTGCATTAGTTGACCTTTTATTTTGAAATTCAAATCGAAATAAGAAGATCACCAATTGGCTAAATACCAAGGATTAAAATTCTACTTTGGTGAGTTCTTTTGCTCATCTTCGAAATGATAACAATTTGGGAACTTTTGGGAATTACAAGGAAATGGTATTTCACTAAAAAAATATAGAATACTAAAGAATGGTATTTCACTATTCTTTGAGGTCGTGTATAATATATAATACTAAAAATTATAGATTATTTTTCGACCTATCATAGTCGTACACGTATCCTGTTGTTTTAAATTTTGTTGTATCACCCTATCCGTATCTCATATCTTGTACCCGTGTATATACTTCATAGGTTCTATATATGCCAAGTAAATCATAGATCATACATTTTCAATTTTCCTTTTGCTCCTATCAACAACTAGCAAATCAATATTTTTTTTCCTCAAAAATACTTCACAAAACAACATTGAAACTTAATGGCTCTCTTCAATTTCAAAGAAGGAAAGCAAATTAATTCAATTTTGATAAGAATGAATGAATATGGTTACAAAATAAAGAAATACCAAAGAGATGGCATGTCAAAGTGGATAACTACATTCTAGAAGAATTCAACATTAGCCTTTAATTCTTGTTCATCCACAGCACAAAACTTTTCAGATTACCAAAAGAAACCCCATTTACAGCAACATATACATATTTACAATAGAAGAACAAAGCATATGATCTGATTCAATATGCAATCTTAAAAAAAGGATAGTCTTTACAGAAACAATGGATCTAGAGAACCTCTCATGACTTTGGATAAGATCCTCAAAGATGAAGAACATCTAAGCAACAACGCAATCACTATTGTAGTGCAGAACAACATATACAGCAGATACACCAGAACAAAACAGCATATACAGTAGATAATTACAGATACGCCAGATTAGCAGAGTAGAACAGCAGATACACCAGATTAGCAGAGTAAAATAACTTGGAATCCAATAATAAAACGAATACAATGTAAATTTATATTGTGAAAATATGCAAGGCACACCAAATCAAAAAATTACTTAAAAAATCGATCTCAAACACCATCCAAGTCTCTAGAGTTAGCATCACTAGTGCTGCTACCAAATAAACCAATTACCAAAAAAAAAATGTTTGATTCGTAAAAAAAATAAAATTATATATTTGAAAATAACATTATATGTTTATGTGCTAACAATATATATGTATTTGAAATGATTTACGCAGAGAACTAAAAGATAAACAATAAATCATACCTTATGGTGGGCCATTTGGGGAAACAAAAATCCCTCTCCCATGAGGTACGCATCTGGGGAAGCAATAATTACATTAAGAACTATTGTGGGGTAAGGATTGCAGCAATGACACTTTCTTATTTCTTTTTCCGATAAGAAAAAAAAATTCCAGCAAATAAGCCCAAACCCTGTACCCTTGAACCATAATTCTGGTAGGTAGTATATGAATGGTCTTTAAAAAATATTAATAAAAAGGTGTTGAGCTCAATAATACTAACCATGGAGCACCAAGCTTCAAGGCACTAGCATAAACCTGCATAAAACAAACATCACAAGAGAAAGCTTTTAGCTCAACATAAATTAAATATATATATATATATAATCATCTGCTTTGAAGTGCAAAAGGAGTTAAAAGGGGTAACAAATACTATGGCTGGACTCAACTAGGTATATCCAGATGAGGACAAATTATATAATACCTCGAGCTTGCAAAAAAAAAAAAAAATCAACTTAAAAAGTTTTATGAGGAATTGATTAAAACAATGCGAGGCACTTACCAAGTAAGGTAAAATACTACCAAAGTTCTATGAGGACTTAATTGAAACAATGTGAGGCATTTACCAAGCAAGCTAATTTACCACCAACTTGCACGGACAAATCAAATGTTCTTAATCTAGCACCAAAGAGATGCTTGTGATCTAAACCAAAAATTCAATCTAGGTCCATTAGAAGTTCTATAAGGAACTGTTTGAAACAACACGAGGCACTTACAGAGTAAGTCGGTTTCAATGCATGAGCAGCGGCAATGTAAATTGCAGATTGGCTGAATAATTCATTAGATGAAACTTCTTTTACATTGACTGATCCCCCAGTTCTTGACGTGCCTTCTGCTAATCCATACTGCAAATATAGGACAATAGCATAGATCATTCAATTTGTTTGTAGAATGGATGAGACAAAAAAATTATAACTTCTTTATGTACATCTATCGACGCAAACCTGATGTTGCTAAATAGCTATCGTACCTTATTGATTGCGGTTTTCACAATTGCTTGCTTTTCTCGTACAGGAACAATTGCACTGAGTTCCTGAAAATGCCCATTTATAACATGAAACTAAATAAAGCTCCAGCATAACCACATAAATTGCAAAACAAAACCTTTATGTAACTGCTCTCAAAATAGAGAATACTACTTGAATGAAAAACAAAGTTGATTCCAGGCAACTTTGTTTAATTAAAAGTACCTGCAGAGCCAGTCCCCAGTTGTTGAGTGCCTGGAAAAAAAATTATTTATCATGAAGTTGCCACCAATATTTTAAACATAAACATATTCACAAATTCTCAAGCAAATCATCCAAGAGTTAAGGATAGAAAAATGGCAGTAGAAGATAACACTGGAATAGAAGAAAAGGACGAAACTGTGATGAGTAAGATTTTAGGGATCCAATTTTAAATGGAATAAAAATATTTAATTTCACAGTTCTAAAAATACTTGCCTGGGGACTGTTCCAATTGAGTTGGACAGCTTTTTCATAGTTTTTCGTTGCCTGCAAATTGGACGAATAATATTACACTTTACCCACTCTTGTGCCATTCTTTTTCAATGATGAATAGCTGTTAGTTTTAATTCAAAAGAGGATTGCATCCATTGCAG